AGCGGCTACAGCACGCAGACGACCACCCCATGCTGTTCCGAGGACACCATTCCCTCCCAAGGTGCGGATGCCCAGCCTGGCAGTTGGGATCACGGGCAGCCCCCCACCCCTCCCCTCCACTCCTTACCCCTGTAGGCAGCTGCAAGCCAGCAGCCATTCTAAACACAGCCCTGCCCCTGGCCGGCAGACTGGCTTCAGGACTGTTGGGTCATCTGGGAAGGCTTTGGAGAGGTGATTGGGGTGGTCAGGAAACTGCCTCAGGAGAAGGGGGCCTGGATTTTAGCCCCTTTTCTCATTTTCACCAGGGTTGCATGGTGGTTCTGAAATGAGCTGAGGGATATCTGCCATTTATAACATCTTCATTTTTGTTTTGACATTTTGTGAAAAGCACTTTAGACTTTGCTTTTTAATTTTCAGTCTACATTCTGCCAGTAGCTCCACTGGTGTTTTGCTTTTTTTTTTGAGTTTGAATTGGAGGTCCTATGCTTGCTACGTGGACACTCTACCACTTGAGCCATACCCCTAACCCCTTCTTTGGGTTTGCTTATTTTCAAGATAGGGTTTCATTTTATGCCCAGGCCAGTCTGGATTGTGATTCTCTTATTTATTGATGAAGATCCACAAACTTTTATGATTGTGCTGGCCTTGAACTCGAACCTCTTAATCACAACACACACACCCGCTAGGAGTACAGTCCAGAGCCACTACACCCAGCCAGCTCCGTTCTTTTTCTAGCCTCAGTCTACCCAGTTATCAGGGAGTTAAGGCAGTGCTAGCCTACTTGAGGTTTGTTTCTCATGTCCCATTGAGCCCTGAGGATGTGGACAGATTCTTCTCCTCTTTCATCCCCCTCATTCCTCCTGGACATTTGGGAGATAGTTTGCTGCAGCCTGGCAGTTTCACACCCTCTCTGCATCCTAACAGCTTCTCCATGGCTATTACAGTGCTCTGTGCTGTTGTAGGTGCCCAGGTACACACATGAATAAAGGTCCCTTCTGGGGAATTCTTGGTGAAATACTTCAGCAGTGTTGGGGGACCAGGATGAGAACGTGTGTGTACCCCTGCCTTGTGTGCCTTTTTCCTCCCAGCACAGAATCAGAACGGAACTGCTCCCTGGCATCTGTCTAATCAGATGCCATACTCAGTTTCAGATTACGATTACTTCTCCGTGAGTGGTGACCAGGAGGCGGAGCAGCAGGACTTTGACAAATCCTCCACCATTCCAAGAAACAGTGACATCAGCCAGTCCTACCGGCGGATGTTCCAAGCCAAGCGCCCAGCCTCCACCGCTGGCCTTCCCACCACCCTAGGACCTGCTATGGTCACCCCAGGGGTTGCAACCATCCGACGGACCCCTTCCACCAAGCCTTCTGTCCGCCGGGGGACCATTGGAGCGGGTCCCATCCCCATCAAAACACCAGTGATCCCTGTCAAAACCCCCACTGTCCCAGACCTGCCCGGGGTCCTGCCAGCCACGCCAGATGGGCCAGAGGAGCGGGGTGAGCGCAGCCCCGAGTCTCCTTCTGTGGGTGAGGGCTCCCCGGGTACTACCAATATTCCCTCCTCCATGTGGAGTGGGCAAGCCTCCATCAACCCTCCACTTCCAGGCCCAAAGCCCAGTATCCCGGAGGAGCACAGACAGGCGATTCCAGAGAGTGAAGCTGAAGATCAGGAGCGGGATCCCCCGAGTGCCACTGTCTCCCCAGGCCGGAGTCCGGAGAGCGACCCTTCAGACCTGAGCCCGAGAGATGCTCCCCAAGGAGAAGACATGCTGAACGCCATCCGAAGGGGTGTGAAGCTGAAGAAGACCACAACCAATGATCGATCAGCCCCACGCCTCTCCTAGGTCTCCTAGGCTCCCAGGAAATACTGCCCCGGGGAACAAACTCTTTGATAAAACCTAATTTGTCTCAATCCATTCCAATGTATAATCAAACAAAAAAAAAAATTTTGTAGGCAACTCAGAATTCAGCTCTTTTGAAAAGTACTCAACATCTTTAGATAAGAATGAAAAGCAACACATGTAACTGACATAACCTTGATCTTTGATTTGTAAATATTGAGCATTTTCTTTCTGCACATTTGAATCTTAGTTTTTCCCTTTTGATTTTTTCTGAAGGTGCCAAATTCCATTTAACTTTTTTATAAGTCTTTGTAAAATTTTAAATGCATATGGTGGGGAGGGCGGGGGGAAGGGAACCACAAAGTAGTTAATTTCAGAAAAGGATTACTATACTTTTTTTTTTCTCCCTGCAAGCTTTTGTAGATGCATTGTAGTAGTCTAGTTTAGGAGCAAAATCAAGTTATTTTAATGTACAAACAAAATGGGTAAGGGATAAAAATCCTCAGTGAAATGTACTATGTTCTGGTTGGGAAATGCAGGAGTGAACCATTGATGAGCAATATTGAGAGAGAACTCTGGAAATGGTAGATGGTCTTGGGGGGGGGGGGGGAGGGCTGTGGGAGGGGCACACTGTCAACATAGCCGATCTGTTTTTACATTTAAGAGTAGCCTGGTAGGTTGAATTTCTAGTAGCTTCATGGTAAATGCATCCGAATAAGCCATACTGGATTGCAGTGTTTGTTTCTGTAGGGTGTTTAAGGACTTCCTTTCTCCCACCATTCCTCTTTGACTGCACACAGCACCCACTCCAGTCCCACGCATGCTGCCATCACGGGTACGTGGAGAATCCTTTCCCACTTAGCTTCTAGTCTATGTACTCACTTCCATGGAGTCCAAATGCATCTAAAAGGGTAAGGCAATTTATAAAGTATGAAAACATTTAAAAAGTGATAGCAGGGAATCCTTAGAACAAATGCCTTTTACTTAACTGTGCCCAGCAGGCTGGGTGCTTGGGAAGCCCAGATTATTTTGAAGAAACTCCAAGTATACTTCACAACCAGCTCAAGTCTAGCAGTTTGCCAATGTGTTTACCAATCTGGGGCTTGTTTTTCTTATCTTCCTCCCATCGATGGCAGTCAATTGGCTTCCTACTAAACACTGAAGAGGATTTATTTATTATCACTGGGAATCTGACCACTATACTGTCTTTTTTTTTCCTTTTGTATTCTAGGCTGTTTATTTGGAATGGATTTGACATTTGTTAACTGGAAGTTAAATTTGTTATAATGCCCATCCCTTAAAGTCAACAGAGATTTGTAGCCTTGAAGGGACTACATTTGGAGACAGCTGTATAAAGGAGCAAGTCCTTTAGCAGTGAGGCAACTGACTGCACATTTGTGCCTAAGCCTCTCCAGGAAGACCGCGGTGGGTCCCCATGCCTACAGATTTCTGTTGGTGCTAATCTTGTGACGTAATCTTATGCTTTAATACTTAACCACATTGGATGTGAGTAATGTTCGGTACAGTCATTGTTCTATATATTAACATTTAACACTGCTGTGATTGCTCAAGGACATTTTATGTTACGGCTTTAAAGCAAAGGCATGATGATTAGAAACTAAGCTTTTTTTCTTTGAAAAACAAGCTCCTTCTGCAGACTGGAAGCAGCAGTAGTGCCTGTGGTGTAGCCCACCAATCTTGATGACTAAAAGTAGCTGATGCATTGTGCATATGATGCTCGAGATGCTTTCTGCAAATGCAGAAAGCATTACAAGGTAATTACAATAGATAAAAATGATATTTTAAATCTTGGAAATAAATGGATGTAACTGTACCTTGGTACAGCTTCTCACTCGTTTAGTTTTTAAACGTTAGTATAATCTGAATAAATTTAATATAAAATGTTGCCAATTCCAATGTAGAAAGAAATGTGACAAAACACCTTGGGTAGCTCTGTTTGTGTTTTTGCATATTGTAAAAGCAGTGTCACAGCTGAAAAATAAAGAAATCCTTTCTAAAGGTAAATTACTGTGGTTTTAGTTGCTAGTCTGTACTGAGAGTCGACCTCTCCTGGGCAGGTTTTCGTTCTACACTTGTATAAATAACACTTGCGTGATGTGTCTCCCTTCTACATTGTAACAATTGCTTCTGCCTACATTATAAATAAAGACCACTAGAAAGAAAAAAAAAAGCCCCTTATTTCAAGTCTTTATTAAAATCAGAAGTGGGATTGAGACTCAGACTGAGCTTATTTAGACAGAACTAACAAAATCTTTTATGATGCTCATCAGCTCCGGGAACAAGCACTGCCTGATCTAATCATTAACAATAAATAAAGGGAAAAAGCCAGCTGATTTTGGTGATAGTTTTACAATGTCTTACCTTTTAAAAAAAAAAAACAACGAAATAAACCCTTACTGGATCACTGTGAGTTCTGTCACACGCTACCTCTAAGTCTGTGAACAGTCTGGCTACCGTGGAAGTAACACAACTGGACAACTACATCCAAAGTGGGGTCACCAACTTTCTTCCCTTTTAGCCCCAGCCAGCCAACTTCCATTCTCTACTTCCTCGCCAGCATGAGCGCCACCTACTGGTGGCTATGGATGTGCTGCCTCTCAGACCACCTGCTCTTTTCTATTTCTGGTCGGTCGTGGGACTTGAACTCTGGGCCTGGGCACTGTCCCTCAGCTCTTTAGCTCAAGCTTAGTGCTCTACCTCTTGAGCCACAGAGCCACTTCCAGTTTCCTAGTGGTTATTGGAGATAAGTCTCTCAGACGTTCCTGCCCGGCCTGACTTTGAACCACAATCCCCAGATCTCAGCCTCCTGAGAGATGTGAGTCACCAGTGTCCAGCCATCACCTGCTCTTTTCGTAAAACTAAAATCCCATTAATGCAATGAACCAAAGAGGGGCTCCAAGCCCTCACTTTCCCTTCTCAGCTTTGTCTATTCAGTATTGTGGTACTAAGCCTTCAACCTCACATTTGTTCAGCTCTGGCTTCTGAGTTAATGTCTTACCTGATTTGGCTACTTTTCCCTTACTGACCACATGTGCTATTAATATTATGACATGTGACTGGTTTTCTTTACCTGGTATACATGGTAATACCACAGACACAAGCAGTCACATGACAGAAGGACAGCACAAGCTTGGCAGACCACATTCAGCATTTTTATTAGGGCAAGTGTATGTGTGCCAACATACTTTCCGTTGCCACTTGCTAGCAGAAAGAGCATGTGTCTACACGGGCCGGTCCCGAGGTCTGGTCACGATGTGCCACCACAGTGGAGGCAAGTCGCCTTCCTTTCTGGCCGGAGGCAAAGCTTCAGTCTTAGGACCACCAGGTGGTGTTTCCTCCTGCAGCTGCTTGACCTAGAAGGGGGACGGGGAAGGAACACGGAGGGAGTGTGAGCCCCAACAACCCCCGCCCCCCCCCCCCCCCCCGCCACTGCCGTGCGACATGTCAGCTCCCGCAGGAAGCTCACCACACACATTTTTGTGTATTTGAATTACTCCCACAGGAAAGCTTTTTCCTTTTTTTTGTTTTTTTTTGCTGGTCCTGGAACTTGAACTCAGGGCCTGGGCGCTGGCCCTGAGCTGCTTTTGCTCAAACCTAGTGCTCTACCACTTGAGCCACAGCACCTCTTTTGGCTTTTTCTGAGTAGTTTATTGTAGATAAGAGTTTTCCTGCCAAGGCTGGCTTTGAACCATGATCCTCAGATCTCAGCGTCCTAAACAGCTAGGATTGAAGGTGTGAGCCATCAGCGCCTATCTGCTTTTTCCTTTTTTAAAGCAGCAAAGTGGGAACTCTCCTCCCTCTTAATCTTTAAACGAAAACATGCAATTACATTTCCAGTTCCCCTGGAACTTTACTGGTCCCCCCAGAAAAACATTTTTGTATCTCAACTCAATACTCTTCATGAAACCTTAGCTCATAAATGTTAGGGATGCTAACTGTAAGTACCCCTACAGCAGCTAGGGCAAGAAGCAACAGGAAATCACATATGAAAAGGCACTCAATTCTACCTGGCCCAACCATCATCACTTCTGGCAAATTCCCTAACATCCCTAACAGGATACCTAAAAAAGCTGAAGTTCCCTCTACACACGGTGCTGGCTGACAGTAGTGAAGAGGACAGGAAGGCTTCAGAGGGCAGAGGTCACCAGTGACCAGCTGTGGAGTGAAAAACCCACTTGAAACTTCAAGAGGTTGTACCACTTCTTACAAAACACGGCTCCCCTGGCCACGGTGACCTTTCTTCTATTACACCTTGGCCAGGGATTTCCAGCAGCCAACATCCCTATACCAGGCATGCCTTCCCCATTTAGGATTTCAGATACCCCATTATCCGACATCTGCCAGCCTTCCTGCTCATTTGCTTCCACGCCCCCTGGCTATTACTTTCTCTCTCCCTCTCCCTTTTTCTTACCCTCTCCCTCACCCTCTCTCTGTACTGCGGTTTGAACTCAGGGCCTAGCTTGCTAGGCCTCCAGCTCTTTTTGTTTTGTTTTCTTTTTTTTTTTGGTCAGTCATGGGCCTTGAACTCTGGGCCTGAGCGCTGTCCCTCAGCTCTTCAGCTCAAGGCAAGCACTCTACCACTTGAGCTACAGCACCGCTTCTGGTTTTCTGGTGGTTTGTTGTAGATAAGAGTTTCACGGCCTTTCCTGCCAGAGCTGGCTTTGAACCTCGATCCTCAGATCTCAGCCTCCTGAGTAGCTAGGATTACAGTGTGAGCCACCGTTGCCCAGCTTGTTTTTGTTATTTTCAAATAGGGTTTTTATGTGTTGAGATGGAGTATCTTGTTTGGCTTCAAATGTCAATCCCTCTGATCTCAGTGTCTCAGCCTCTCAGCTAGCTTGGTATTACAGGCAAGAACCACCATTCCTAATATTTAGACAAGGTCTTTCCATGTAGCCAGGTTGCCTCAAGCTTGTCATTCTCCCTCAGCCTCCTGAATGCTGGGATTACAAGTATGCCCTACACAGGGTGGTATTATTTCTTTTCTTTATCCAGTCAATCACTCACTTTTGAATAACCTTAAGTCCTCTCTTACTCTGGACAAACTGGGCCATCCATCTTTAACCCTGCATCCAAACACTTCAGTATTGCTAAAGAGGAAAAAAAATTACTGAAAGAAATGGGAGTTATTCCACACTAATCAGTCAACTTCTAAGGGCCTTCACCATTGCCTAGCAACCTAGTTTTCTCCAGCAAGCTCATGCTCTCCTCAGCTAACACTTTCCATATTTTTCATACAGGCGGTGCCCACCTACATCAGCTTCTCTGAGTTCATTAAAACTCGAAGTTAATTTGCATACTTGTGGAAATACAATGTTATTGCCCCCCCCCATAAAATTAATGTATGCCGAACAACAATATCGACAACAAAACAAGTGGTCACACACCTGCAGCCCGAATGCATCCATCTACATCTGCTGTCTTCCGTTAAGGAGGAAAATCCCTTCTCCTTTTCTTCTCTCTCTACTATATGGAGGATTGCATTCATTTTTGTGGTTTTAAAAACAACTGAAAACGCACATATGTCTATTTCTACACCAGATTCCTACACCCAGTGCTGACTATGGCACTGCACTTGCTGACTGACAGGATCCTCCAACATTTCATTTCACTGTACCTGACACTTGCTGCCACCCCCGCACCCCCCTTGCAGGACTCCCTATCCCAACCACTACCGCCGAACTCCTCACATGGAAGCCGACAACCTGGAAACCATTTTTGGTTCCTTGCTATCCCTCACGGGGACCCTCCCTTCCAAACTTCACATGCTAATGACATGCTGCAGGTTATTTGCTTCCACATCTTCGACCCTATTGCTAGTCACAGTGACCACAGACTTCACTTGCTACTTTTCCTCCTGCTGTCTCCAACTTATTTCTTCACACCATAGTCAGAATGAGCTATTAAGATGACTAAAAACGACCCAAGGCTTCTAAGGAGTATTAACGTACATGAAGGTCAGGCAAAGGACTAAGAAGAAGGAGATGAGAAGCAAATGAGAGAACAGAAAAGTCCAAACAATCAGGGAACACCTTTTCACTGATTTTTTTTTAAGATGGGCAATACTAAATTGAACACACATTAATTCTGGTAAGGAGCCAAGCACCTGCCAGGGCAGGACCTGGACCTCAGCACATGGGCAGGATCTCACTGAGCTCTACAGTGAACAGCAATGACAGAAAGACGTACCTCTCGATCCCAGCTTTCCCTCCGTAGTTTATTCCATTTCTCTCTCTTGGCAAAGTAATCAGGATACATTGCTTTCTCCGAAGGATGCCAGTAATCTAAGCACCATTCTGGAACCTGCCACAAGAGCAAATCATGGGGTCAGTCCACAGTATTCCTTTATATATCACTGACAGGTCTGCTCAGGAGATGGAAGTCAAAAATCAAGTTGTATTTTTATAACTACTGCAACTATTGGATTATTCCTAACTCTGACTAAGGAGTCGGAGAGGATAATAAGCCGGGACTGAAGATGAAGAATGCCTTAAAGTGAATGATTCTACAGATGAAAAATGACAGAACAGAGACAGCTGGGATCGTTCCTCTCCACCTGTGTTTTCTAAACACAAGGAGTGGTTTTCTGTTACTTGGAAATAGCAAGTTTCTCAAGAAATACCAAGTACCAATCCAACTTGATTATTTTTAAAGTCTCCAAATGAGTTAATAAGTAATTTAGCAGTTTGCTTTGCCAAAAATACTACAGTACAAAATCTCAAAGCTGAATTTAAGGAGAAAAGTCTTAATGGTATCTGAGCAAAAGCTGATGCCTGAAATAACAGTATGTCAACTGTGAGGAAAAGAAGTCTAGTCACCCCACAAAGGGTGAAGGATACAAGGCTGAGGTCTGGACCGAGACACACAGTCTGCCTATGGAAGAGTGGCCACTGCAGTCCTCACCTACCTTGTAGCACTCATATCTCTCGTAGGAGGTGCCCCCTGGGGAGTCAGGGAAGATATATGGCTGTGGGTGCTGATTTTGCCAGAATTCTTCTTCCGCCTCCCTCAGCAGCTGTGTGGCCCTCATCATATCCTTTTCATTCCGATGTTCTTCAAACCGGGCTCTCAGCAAACAAGCAAAGTACCGGTATTTTTCCCTGAAGGCAAATGATTGTGGGAGATCAGAAATGTTATCTACTCAAGTGGCCAGTGCCTAGGCTGACAGGAGCCAAGTTCCCACTAATGCCACCTAGATGAGCAGCGCAACTTTCTGCTGTCCCCCACAAATGTGCAACAGAGAGGCCACATCATTATAATGCTTGTTCTGCAGCTTTCCAAACAGCAGCAAAATAATAATAACTCCCTATACTACAATGAAGGAATGATGACTTAAAAAGAGAAAGAGAACTAGTAAAAGAGAAAAGCTATCGCTTCTGCAGGTTCATTCAACATTCAGTCATTTTGTACTGTGCTAAATTCTGGGGACACAAAGATGAATAACAAGGGAGGAGGAACATTGTGGACAGTTTTGCTCTAGTCATACAGAATTGGGTTTGAATCCTGATTCTGATGCTACCAGCCCGACCTTAGTCAAGTTACAGTCTGGTCCTGAAGAAACTGTGGGCAGACATAAGTTAGGAAGCTTTGCCAACTGTCCAGGTCACAGATGACTAGGCACAAAGACAGCCAGTATAGCAGTGGCAGGATACATGAGAAAATATTTAGACCTACCAAGTTATGAGGTGGGTTCGATCTTAGCTCTTCTACCACTAGCTCATAGTAAGTTAGTTAATTTCTCTAGATAACGGGCTCCTTTTCTTTATGTTAGTAACGGTGCCTCCATCCTAAGGTTGTCATCAAGACTCGACATTCTAAAACACAAAACACTTTTCATACCAGTACCTGATATATTGCAAAGGCTAAATTATGTAATTATTATAATTATGGGATGGAAAACTTTGAAAAAAACATGATTTGTTTTGTGCCCACACTGAACATTGAACTCAGGGCACTGTCCCTTGGCCTTTTGCTATAGGCTGATATTCTACCAACTGAATCACAGATCCACTTCTGGCTTTTTGCTGGTTAACTGGAGAGAAAAGTCATGGATTTTCCTCTCCAGGCTGGCTTTGAAACAGTGATCCTTAGATCTCAGCCTCTTGAGTAGTTAGGATTACAGGTGTGAGCCACCTGGGTACACATGGCTTTATAAGCCTGTGTGTTAACTGCACAGAGAGTAATTACTATATCTTTGAGAACAATTCTGGATTAGGGCTTAATGTAAGAATTACTAATAATACCATTATGCTATGCAAAAAAAAAAAATCTTAGAGTCAGAATGGAGGAAAGAAAAGGTTGAGTTTGGTTTAATGGAATTTAGATAATGTGTTAGAGAAGAGTCAATGATCTAACAAATGGGAAATATAGCTCTACAAGCAAATGAGCAAAGATGGTTAACTCAAGTCCCAGTATTAAAAGGGAGTGCCTCTAGTACACACAGCATTACAGAGAGCCTTGCTGGGAACCACAGAGAACAGCTCTAGGAAGGTGGGAGAAATTCAAGCAATGGCTGAGAACGTTATCGAGGAGACAAGAATTTTGTGCCATTGTACTCATAGTAACTAGTTTTAACATTTCTTCTCAGATTATTGCTTTAATATTCCCAGATGTAGCATTTTTAAATCCATAATGGATTAACTTCCTTTGTAAGATTAATAATTCTCCCAGGTATCTATTAGTATACATGTCCACCGCACCCACATATCCATTGACTTTTACTTATTTGGCATCCAGTATAGAAACTGAACTGCAAATCCCGTGATCCATGTAGGCGAGTTAAAAAAAAAAAAAAAAATTCAGGGAAGAAACCCACAACTGTACAACCTTTTACCTGTCATCCTCCTGACTAGCAAAGAGAAGTATGATTACCAAGTTGCATCCTGGGCTTTAAGGGTACCCTCTCCAACTCTTCCAGGTCTCAGCTTTCCACGTTTTTGGTTTTTTTTTCCTCAAAAGCCCTCTGACTGGAACTAAGTTTTAAGATTCTGTAAAGGTTGGGGCCTGATATTCGCACATCTTGGGTTGTCACTGTTATTTTACACTGCATTTAGGCCACGGAAGTCTACGTATTTTAAGACCACATTCTAAGACAAGTCTCCCGAGGATTGAGAGTTGTGGGGGAAGGGGAAAAAGATGCAAAGGTAATAAGGAGGACTAGATGAAGCTAAAATTGAGAAAAGCCAAGGGGAGAGGGAGCGATGAGGATGCATTAGAGATGGATATTTAATTTTTATCCATTTCAATAAATATTAAATGTTCAGAGGCACAGAGGCATCGCGCCTTGGGGTTCTTTCCCCTGGATACTTAGATTTTAATCCTGACTGTATGCTATGCTTCAGTGTGGTCATCCGTAAAATAAAGCTAAGATAATCCCTAACTCCTGAATTGTCCTGCGGTCTAAGAAAAGGAAGAATGTACCCACTGTCACTGTAAGTATTAGGCAGGATCGGGAAGAAAGCGTTCTTCTGTGAGCGCGGGACCCCCCTTTTCCTTACTTTATGTAATCACGGAACCCGCAGGGCTGGGCCTTGCGTAGATTTTACTGCATGGAAAATGAATGCACGTGTGGCCTACACCTCATATCCCGAGGTGTATCCCGAGGTCCAGCAGCCACGGGCGGGGAAGTCTAGATTCGAACCCGGGTCCAGGGGCGGGTCCTGAGGGGCAGTGATGACCGTCCCTCTGCGTCCCCAATGCCCTTGAGCGGCCTGGTTCCCTCCAGGCCTTTCGGCCTCCACCTCGCCGCCCGAACCCCGGGTCCCCTTCTCCTACCTGTGGATACACCACGACTCCAGGTGCCGCAGCGCCCGCTTGTAAAGCCGCAGCACCTTCTGCTGGTGGGTCAGGTAGGCCGACGGCGCGCAGAACGCCATGGCCGCGGCCCGACGTCCCTCCGGCGGCCGCAGGGACTGCTGGGGGAGTGGGCGGGGCGGACGGCCGGAAAGGTGGGGCGAGTGGCGGGAAGGGCCTGGCGGGCCCGCCGCTTCCGCTTCCGCCGGGGTGGAGCCTGCGCCGCCGTCATGAGTCGCTTCAGGTTCGTCGGTAAGAGGCGCCTTTTGCCGGTTTCGCGTGTGTTTATTTGCGGAGACTGACGAGCCGGACGGTCGTGGCTTGTGTTCTCCTCCATGTCTGCGTTACATTCGGTGGGGAAAGGAGGAGGAGCTTTGGGAAGAGCCCTCGCCCGGCTCGCGTGAGGCCCCAGGTTCGAATCCCCCTGCGCCCTCCGCGCCGGCTCGTGACCGAGAAGACAGCTTCCGGAGACCTGTCTACCTCGGCCTCCAGGACGCGCCTTTGGGCGGGCACGGCCCCAGACCTGCGGGGATGTTGACGGACGCTTGGTTAGACGGGGCGGGTTACACGAAAACAGCGGGGAGCGCCGTCTTTTGCTCGGCAGGTCGGGTGTAGGGAGGTGACGGCGGCGGGCCCCCGAGTGGGAGCCGACCGGCACTCAGGAACACCTGGGCGGCCTGGTAACGCCTGGCATTTGGGAGGTGACTTGGACTCCATTGTCTCGCTTTAGCTTCACTCTCCATAAAGTGAAGCCTTTCCCCAAGAAGCATTCGTTCGTTAGAGTTGAGTGCCAGCTATAAGCCAGGATTGCACCCCGGGATATAGTCGTGGATGAAGCTGGGCAGGATATTTGTGGCGTTTCCAGCTACTTACAGATTGGGAAATGAAAGCGATCCTACATCTGCCTTAGTATGCTAACCCTGGTAGTTAAATGGAGATTTAGTGAGGCATAGGAGAGACCTGAGCATTGGTGGCTCCAGATTTGAGCAAATGCAAAAGTAAATAAACATGAACTGGAAGCATAACCGGTTTGGCAGTATATAGGAAAGCCACTCAGACACATTGGGGTTAGTTTTGTTTGGAACTCTTAAATGACGTCCAGGTAGAGACATCATCTAGACACTTGTATAGTCTGACACTCCAGAAAGTAAAGCAGTGTCCCCACCCCCCTCAAAAAAAAAATTGGGAATACTGTGAAACTGTATCTTGAATTGCTTTAGTTTCCAAACTGGATAAGAGCTGTAGTCAAACAAATGGGAGGGACAATGTTAGTGATTATAAATAAAGCTTTAAAAAGGCTGTGACAGAGCCAGGGGTGAGGCCTGGAGATTCCTGGAAGGTTGTAAGAATACCCTAATCCTGTAATGTAATTAGGAGGAGAGATGGAATAAAGTGTCATGGAATACTCCCATTAAGATTCTCTAAAAAGGTTTGTAGTATAAAGCTAATTCTCTACCTCAAATCATGTCTCTTTAGCCCCCCTACCCCCTCAACCTCCAGGTTCCAGATGATGATGATGATGATGATGATGATGGTGATGGTGATGATGGTGATTTGCTAGTCCAAGGGCTTGAACTTAGGGTCTGGGCACTGTCCCTGAGCTTTTGCTCAAGGCTAGCACTCTACCACTTGAGCCACAGCACCACTTCTGCCTTTTTTCTGCTTATGTGGTACTTAGAAATCAAACCTAGGGTTTTGTGCATGGTAGGCAAGCACTCTACCACTAAACCACATTCCCAGCCCCTTATATTATTTTTTTTAATCAACTAAACTTCTTTTGCTTCAGATCTTTCAGTTGCTGTCTTAGCAGCATAGCTGATTGTCTTAGCAGCATACAAAGGCTTTCTTTCTGCAATCTGGCCCTGCCCACTTTCCAGCCTTATCCCTTTTGTGTCCAATAAACACTACTTACACTGTTTTCTTACTCTGACACATTTTAGAGTAGCAATTTGGGGCCAAAGTGTTCCCTTATGCCTTTAATGTCATTCAGACTTCCCTATTGCCTGGCTTTTCTTTAAAGACTTTATAACTATACCCTCTACAACATTATTTGAAATTAAGTATGTATCTGCCTATCCCTCAATACTAACACTCTTTAAGGCAATCACTAGCATTTTTCTTTGTTTGCCAGGGTCTTACTTAGTAAAATGACTATTCAAAGGAATATGAACAAATGGGTAAAAGAGAGTATGTGGCTTTAGTACTAAAATTATTTTTAAATACTGATAAAAGAGGGCTTGGAATGTGGCTTAGTAGTAGAGTGCTTCCCTGGCATGTATGAAGCCCTGGGTTTGAATCCTCAGTACCACAAAAACAGAAAAGACCAGAAGTGGTACTGTGGCTCAAGTGGTAGAGTGCTAGCCTTGAACAACAACAAAAAAAGAAGTGCAGGACAGTGCCAAGGCCCTGAGTTCAAGCCCCAGGACTGGCAGGGGAAAAAAAAAACTGATAAAGATAAAAAGGTAACTTTCTTGAGATTAATAATTAGGATAATTTTCTTTCATTTGCACTTTCAGTTCTCAATGTAACTGTTAAATGTTTAAGTATATCATTCATTTTAATAAATTTATACAAATTAAAACAAACATTTTTTCTTTAAAACAAAATGAGTCATACTAAACATACCATCTTTATTACAACTTAATCTGATATTTAGTCTTTTATTCCATGCCATTTAAAAAACTACTTGTGAACACTGGCTTATTAACTTACTACATTAAGTCATGAACAGAACTTTGAAAGACCATATTAGATCTGTGGAAGTTTGGTCCATGAACGAGCTTTACCTGGAACTCTGGGATGGGAAATTAAAACACTGTTATGACACCAGCCATAGATTTTGGATGGGAACAGTTGACTATCCCCAGATTGTATGGTTTCTACATTTCCATTTCCTCCAATTGCACAAGAAGTGGTTTCCCTTCCAAACTACACTCCATTTCTAACGTAGAAGAGGCTGGAAAGCCGAACTATTCGTGGGCAACTCTGGAAAACACATTTACATTTGAGGTCTTGGGGACTACTTGAGATCCAAACTATAACATCCAGCTAGTGTTGGAGAATTGGTTGTGCAGGAGGTAGGGAGGGTGACATTCACATATCTGGTGTCAGTGAGGTATGGAGAGTGTTTGGACATGAGACTATACTTAGGGAAAGCAATTTGTGTTTTCTTACCTCACGCCTTGGCGTTCTGAAATAGCCATAGGTAATAGTAAACTAATAGGTATGGCCATGTTCCTATAAAACTTGGTGGATATGAAAACTTAAGCTTTTTATAGTTTTTACACATCACAAATACTCTATTTTTTTCAATTATTTAAAATGTAAAATCATTCTTAGCCTAGAGTTGAACGCAATGGGGCAGTGGGAACAAGGTGTGGTGGTTCATTAACAAACTTGCAACACTCAGGAGGTGCAGCAGGAGGAGCACTAGTAAGAAGCTAGCTTAGGCTATGTAGTGAGACCTTGTCTTAACAGAACAAAGCAAAAGGCAGTGGCTGCAGGCAGGAGTCTGCCAGTTCTTTGCTCTAGCACTTTTTTCTGTCCTCTGGTGTTGATTTGCTGAAGGAACTGGACTGATTGTCCCACAAAATGCCCTTAATTTTTGATTTGTCTGTTGCCAATAGTAGTGTCATTTGGCTTGTTCTGTAGTCCCCTGTATTTCTTGTAAACATGAAATTATATTGAAAGACCAACAAAATTTGAAATAACCTTATTTGCTGTCCCTTTGTATCTCTAAATCATAGATGACCGTCACCTGGACATGGTTCACTTGAGTTCAAACAGGCTTTACTTGCAAGGTGTGGTTTTTCTCTTGGTTGCTAACAGTGCAAACAAGTTTCCTCTGTTTTGTTTTGAAAAACATAAGCACATAATAAATGAAGTAGTTTTTAGCAAAGGTATCTATTTTAAAAAATTAACGAAAAGGAAACATGTTCATCTACATAGTGTGACATACCATGAAATGTACGAATCCCTCAATTTCATTCCCTAATCAGAAGCACAGTACAATTTCCCACTTTGTTTTCCTTTCTGCCACTTCCTCCCAACCCCCATCTGTCTTTTTTTAGACTCTTTACTCTAGTTGTCTGGAACTGACTAGAAATTGGGCTTCATACAGTATTGTTTACTTTTGAATTTCCTTGTCAGTAAGCATACTTCTGAGTGGAACCGTTTTAATTTAAAAGACACTCATCACAGATCTGCACTTTTTGAACAAGTTAAATAGGATTTTGACAACAAAACAGGTTGGCCCACCTTTGGCTATTTGATGCTGCAGTCAGGGATGGAAGCATTGACCACATGAGACGGTCTGGAAGGTAGCTAATGTCAGCCCAGATTCTCTTTGGTGATAGCATGCTACAATCTTTGTATGATGCTATCTGTGCTCAGTAATAATGATAATGACATGTTATAGGCCTTCGATCTACAAAATTTCTTCACCTCTACATTTCTGGGTTTGAGATATATTTCATAGCCCAAAAGAATGTTCATCCTACTAGTAAGAAAATTGAGGCTCAGCAAGACCTAAGACTAGTCAATTAATAATTAGCCAAGTCAGAAGTTCTAACTCCAAGGCCCATTTTCTTTCCATAACTGCATAATGATAGTTCTTCTATCTTACTGTCTTTCTTAGAACTTGTTCATAGATTGAATTCCTTTTAGTCAATTTGAACTTTTTTGTAGGTATTTGCTGCAAGAACCCATCTTAATCAATAAGCCTAATATGGGGACGTGTGTTTGTTATCTGGGCTCTATGAGAAGCCACAGGCAGAAGAATCATGTCTAAGGCTGGTTCTGAGCAAAAATGCAAGATTTTATCAAAAAAGTAATTAAAGCAAAAGGGACTGGGGGTATGGCTCAAATGATAGTGTGTTTGCCTGGATGAGACCTGGAGTTTAAACCCTGGTGCCATCAAAAAATACAAACAAGGGTTGGGAAGGTGGCTCAGTGATAGAGCGCTTGCCTTGCATGCATGAGGCCCTGGGTTTGATTCCTCAGCACCACATAAGCAAAAAGAAAAAAGCCAGAAGTGGCGCTGTGGCTCAAGTGGTAGAGCGCTAGCCTTGAGCTGAAGAGCTGAAGGACAGCGCCCAGGCCCAGAGTTCAGGCCCCACGACCGGACCCAAAAA